GGTTTTCTTTAATTAAATTCAAAAGCAAGCAAATCAATCAATGGTGACAGAGATCAGCACACTTACTGTTGGGGGGGATGTGACTGAGCGGGAGGAGGGAAGGTTTCTGGGGTGCTGGAAGCTTTCTGACTAGTGGTACAGGAATGGATCGCAGATGCAGTTCCTTCACTGGCTGCTCAGCAAGTAAGCCCGTCTCTGTGTGTTAATTACACCTCAACAGAAAATGTTTTTACAAATGCCTTTGACTTTAGGTTCTCTTAGAATCTATCAGTGAGCTAGCCTAGGAGAGGAATGAGTATTCCTGTAACCTGTGCCATCAAACATACCTGAGGTAGTAGGAAGCTGTTTGAGGCATAGGGATGAGCACCAATTAAAGGGCAAATAACCTAAAAGCCCAGTTACAATTCTGAAGGACCCAAAAGTATGCTCCTGCATATTTACTTACTTTTTTAAAAGATTTTATTTATTTATTTGACAGACAGAGATCACAAGTAGGCAGAGGAGGCAGAGAGAGAGGAGGAAGCAGGCTCCCCGCCGAGCAGAGAGCCCGATGCAGGGCTCGATCCCAGGACCCTGAGATCATGACCCGAGCAGAAGGGAGAGACCCAATGCACTGAGCCACCCAGGTGCCCTGCTCCTGCATATTTAAAGATGACTCTACTCAGAAGTGGTTCACCGAGTGGCAAACCCAGTATGTCCGAAATCAGGCCAGTCACCTCCTCTGCTACTCTCCATTTCCTCCTGCCTCCAACAGGTCCATGAAGGGCTGACCATTCATTCAATCAGGTCAGGAATATAGGAATCGTCTTCAACTCTTCCCTTCAGTCAGCCCTCTCTCCCCGCAAACTGCTTTCCATTCTAATTCCCATGAGGTGATCCAGCCAATCCTCGCCCCACAGCTGAAGCATCTCTGGTCTCCAGCTTGGCTCAGTACATCTGCCCCCTTCCTCGTCTCCACCTCCTCACTGGCCTGCTCTTTTCAAATCTGGATTTGATCATGTGACTCCTCTGCTTAGAATTTTTCAGTGGCCTCCTGCCACCTTTAGGCCCAGATTCAAATTTTTAAACATCATATACAGGACACTCCGGGAACTGATGCCTGCCTGTTTTTCCACTTGTCTTCTTACACCTTTATATGGCCCACTGTCCTGGTTCTTGTTCTGCAAGCACTTGCTTCCTCTGCTCCCCACCCACCAGCTCCTGTCACTTCTAACAGCACCTCAAAACTCAGGTCAAGCACGACGACACATGGGGAGGCCTATCTGACTCTCCATACCCTCATTCCCAAAGTTTGATTAGTTATCCCTCCTTCTCTGTGCTGCCCTGCCTACCCCTCTGGGGGGTTAAGAACATCACAGTGGTTGTTTTACTCAGCTGTACGCCCAGAGGACTGGGACCTGCTATGGGGCAGGCACTGTCTTGTTGTTCGAGTCTGGCTGGGTGCCTTAGTGATCGTGTTAGGAAATGCTGGGTGACAAGGGGAGGCATGAATGAAAGTTCGCACAGGTGCAGCAGAGCAAAACCATCACCACTGCTAGACCAGCCCATGATGGGATGAGTTACAAGTGTTACCTCCATTTTCAGAGAGACAGGAGCAACAGAAACACTGATGCTTACATAGCTCCATCTTGAATAATATGATTATCACCATAAAACATTAATTTCTTTTTTTTTCTGGCATGGTATGACAGAAAAAAAATTGTTACTGTTAGTAAAATGGCCTTAACATACTGTTTGGCAGGAAATTTTACTCAGATGAATTTCGTAAGTGATTCCTTCATAAATGAATCAATTTGTGCTATGCATATTTATTGTATCCCATTGCCAGAATCACATGCTATAAGATTTCAAGTAAAAATCTGGGTTTGGGGGCACCTGGGTGGCTCAGTCTGTTAAGCAACCGCCTTCGGCTCAGGTCATGATCCCGGGGTCCTGGGATCGAGTCCCACATCGGGTTCCCTGCTCAGCAGTGAGTCTGCTTCTCCCTCTGCCTCTGCCTACTGCTCTGCCTACTTGGGCACTTGTGCTCTCTCTCTCCATCAAATAAATAAATAAAATCTTAAAAAAAAAAAATCTGGGTTTTAGGAGACAGGTAAAAACTCACTAAGGAGCCTGGATTGCAAAAACAATTTTTTATAAAATATTTGGTATTCAAAATGATCAACTTCTAATATCAAAATGATCAATTCCCAGGACTGACTTTGTCAAGAGCAAAGCACTTATAAATTTACAAATATAAAGAAAAGATGACAAAATTCAAGCTCCTGGACAACTGACTTTTCTACCATAAATCTTAATCTTCAACACTTCTGGGTCCTAGCTGAAGTACTAACGTAGAGTAAGGGAAAGATGCTGAATAAGATGACAGCTCTATCTTTATCACGTCAAAACAGCTCTCAGAACTCATCAGCCCTTAGGCCTTCCCTTATGAAAAGTCCTCTAGAGCACAGAGGCCCAGAGCCTGAATTCTGGAGCCAACAGGCAAGGGGCAGTGTCCGTTCTGCCACCGATCGGCTCTCGCACCAGCTTCGTTGTGTCTCAGTTTTCTCATCTGTGACATGGAGATAATAGCATGTCTACCTCTTAGGCAACCGGAAATCTTAAATGAGTTAATTCATGGAAAGTGCTTAGAAGAGCTCCTACAGAATGCTTACTGCTTCCTAAAGGGTCACATTCCCTGTCCCTAGTGTGTGGCTCAATACAACGGTGAACTAAGACAGTCCCCGCCCTATGGGGTTAGAGCACACCAATAAATATATTATTGCGAACTTTGATAAGCAATATTAAGACCATATAACCTAGTCTTAGAATGATCAGGGAAGGCAAAGTAATCATCACTTAAGATCCCAAAGGCCAGAGTAAAGTGCACTCAGAGCTAGCATGTTGCAGAGGTCCTCCATTAACGTTTCCCCTGAATAACAGATTTTCAAGATTGGAAGTTAAGGAGCATTGCAAAGTTGGTGGAGACAGGCCCTATCATCAGTGTTCCTGCAGTTTCTGTAATCCCACAGATTGTTAAGCACTTACAAGAGCAGTTGGCTTATTGTACATGAAGATCACGAATACAGAGTTTCAATGATTATTCTTTTATAACACTGAATAAAAGAGGTTGTAATATAAACTAAGTCTATGAAAATAATGGGAAATAAGCATAGCAAGCGCAATCATTAAAAATACATATTGCTAACTCTTGGCCTACAGTCTCTTCTGGAAAGGTCGCACTGTAACTGGGCAGCGGGTTAATCCAATTTTTATGACACCAAATTACAGGTTACAACTTCCTGAACAGGTCTTTCAGGGTTTAACTTCTCTTGATTCACCTCGAAGATCAGGCTAATTAATTACTAAACAAAAATAGCCATGGTCACCATTTATTTATTGGGAGCTTATCATAATTCAGTGAGTACACATATGCAGCAAATCTTCGTTTTTATGTGCCTCAGTTGTTAAATACCTCCTCTAAAATAGCATCTCCTTCCAGCACCCGAACCACTGGGTATTTTATATTTATGTTGCAAGGAAATTCTTGCACTCAGCTTATAAAACATGGGAAAGAAAAGCACAGAAATTTCTGGCCAGAAAACAGTATGACTTTTTATGCCTTCGCTAAAGTCAGGTCAATATTAAAAAATATGAACGGTAACTAGAGAAAGGCCAATGTTGTAAAAACTCATTATTTAAAAAAAATACTTATAAGACAATTTCTTTAAAGTACTGGACAGTAATCAAAATGCTAATTCAGTAACGTGCTCTGCCTCCTCAAGACAGAAACGAGGCCCTCTGTAAAGCACCACTCAATGAGAAAGAAGAAATTATAAGGCAGGATAGAATCAGCAGCTCCCCCTGCTCTGAGCACCTTTCCTAAACACAAAATACATGCACCTGCACAGTTTCTATCATGTAAAAGCCCCAATTCTCCATGGAGTTCCATTCTCATTCACCTTATAATACCAACAACCCAGTTCTTTTAAGCATTTGTACAGATGACTAAAAACGTATGTGGTATAACAATCACCAAAACCTAAAACATCCCAACGTGAAATAAGCAAAGATGAGCTGGGGTATACAACTAAAAATATTCTTTGATTGTAAAAGTTATTTTTTTCCCTTAAATTTATTATTTAATAGGTTTTGGCAGTTATTATTTCTACCAGACTCAAAAAGAGTAATGCATATCATTGCCACAAAATTCACAGTAAGCGTAATGTAAAAAATAGGAGCAATAATTCAACCATTAAGTGACACAAAAAGAAAGGAAATGGAAATAAAACACAGAAACAAGAGGAAATACACTTGGGATAGAGGTACTGGAAATTCCCCTCTTGATAAAACATGTTTCCCACTATGAGTACAGGAGGTTTGTATGTTATTTCTGGTTGCAGGTAGAGTTAACGTCATCTCTAAAATGCCATCTGAAAGCACAGGCCTTGGTCGAAATGATGTCCCCATTCCCTAAATTCACTGCTGTGAGAGGGACATGTGGCAGAGGGGAGGGAAAAGTGCAGAAATGGATTAACCCAGTGAGCTGGAAACAAAGACTTCTGGTACTAATGAGGCCCAGGGCACTAAGATGCCCTCATGGGAATGGGGAACTAGAAAAGCCAAGTCACTAAATTATGCACTACTATACTCTCATCTTAAGGCAAATCAGATTCCATCATCAATTAGCTTATCAGTTAAAAAAAGGGGGGGGAACCCCACCTAACTACTACTACCACCATCTATAATGGCCAAAATCACATGGTACTTTGATCATTACTGCTCCTCACCTTCTAGCTCAACAAACAGGGACTGGTCTGAATCTGACGTGTATTTTCCTTTACTTTGGCTCAACTGATCAAAACACAGACAATTTTCTCTTTAAATTGAGGTACAATTAATCCTTCTCTCAGGATTTTTACCCTTCATAGACTGACTTCCTACAGCCACTGTGACTATCAACAGTACATTTTAAGTTAAAACAGAAAAGGAAAGGGCAATTCAACCAAAAAATGTCATACCTAGTGGTACTTCCTGTTGTTCTTCAGCAGGGGGCATGTGCGCTTCTAAAATAAGAAAATTACAATCCATTACATACTGCTGACCAGTGTTTCAAACACAGACTGTATTTAAGTTATAGTGATTATTTTTACAGACATTTCTGGGATCCGACTGCAATGATGACAAAAACATTAGGTTTTCACACTATTACAACAAAGAAGAGTTAGCGGTAACTTTGCAAAATGTTGTATACTTCTCAAGTGTGCTGTAAAACAGGCTTTACATCATCTGCCTAACTGACTAACCATGACCAAAACTCACTGCCTGGGCAAAGGAGATATGAACTAAAACCCCGGTCTTCACCACAATTTTGCATCAGACTTGATTAGAGAGCTGAGGAAAGAGATCTAAAATATCTTGTTAAAAAAGTTTTTAATACACAACCCTAAATGCAACATGAATGAAACAATGAAAGAGAGTCCTAAAAGTTAATTACTATCCTTAATAAAGTTTCTGAAAAATAATATTCAAGATAACATATTCTAAGACTTGCCAAAATTACGGATATGACTTTTTAAACATCTTGCCTTTTTCCCTGGCCACTTCAACCCATTTGCATCTAAAGAGACTGTAGATAGACCTTATCAAATAATGGTACAATAATATACTGATCTGATTCCATCGATCAAATTATATCACATTTTAAGATCTTCATATCTAACAACCCATTGAACATTACCTTAATCTAGAGATAAGATTACATCAGTTTTCCTTTTGCTCCTGAAGACTTGGACTAGATTTAGGTCAAAAGGAAGAATTTTTATAGCATTTTCTAAAACTCATATATTTATGCAGCTATTTAACTATTTTTCTTCTTAAATTAATTTGCTTCTAATTTTAAGAATAATACATATCCAAATGGAAGATTTGGAAATATTTTTTACATAAAAGGAAAAAGGAAAAAAAATTCACCTATTCCCACTAATCACAATGAATATTCTGGCATATTTCATTGTTTTAGTGGCAATACTATGAACAACTAGCTTTCTCTGTTATGAATGGCTTGTTAAGGTTTGCCTACTGATCACATTCTTAGTAAGTTAGAGAACTACTAGCACGGTATCACCCTACCAGTATTTTTCTCAGAATTTCCTTTACTTGTCATTTTAGGTCTGAAAAACTTGTGTGCATCATAAAGTATTAATCACATTATTATTTCCATCACTAATGTTATACTAAGAAAGCCTTATTATTATTGCAAGATAAAACAAATTTTCAATCTGAAATTCAAAATTTCAATTTAATTTTGTTCTGAAAAAGTGTACATTTAACAGACTCACCTGAAATTTATTTTGGCAATAATATAATGGGAGGATTTTTTAAAAGGAAACAGTAAACTTATTATATCAGCACAGCCTGATTTTCTTTACTCTAGCACTTTTTAAACCCACTTCAGTATGGATTTCAACTCCCACCTTCATGATGATGGCTCCCAAACACATCAATCTCAGGTCTCACCCATCTAGCTCATATCATTGGCACAACCAACCCCCTACTTGATACCTCCAGCTGGGAATCTCACATCACTCCCAAACTTAAAATATCTAATATGGAGCCTTGGTTTTCTCCCCTAAACCAGTTTACTCTAGATCCTACTTTTGCCACCATCCCACAGTTGGTAAACGGCCCCATCATCTGACAGTTATTCAAACCAAACCAAAGTCTCCCTTTATTTCTCTTTACTTCACAACCATCAGAAAGGTCCATCAGTTATAATTCAAAAATATATCTCAAATTCAAAACTTTCCCCTCCATTTCCACAGCCACGACATTACTCCAGGCCACCACGATCACTTCCTGGATCGGCACCCAAACATTTCCTTACAGGGTGGTCCCTGCCTCCATCCTTGCCCCACCTAATCCATTTTCTAATTAGGAGTGAAAGTAATTCCTTAAAATAAGTCGAATTATGCCATACTTCATTTAAGTATTTTTCCCAGATTCCAACTGCACCTGGACTATAATTCAAATTCCTCACTAGGTCTTCCAAGTTCCCAACTGATCGGTCACCTGAATCTTTAATGTTTAAACCAATTCAAGCTTAGTTTTCTGTTGCCTGTAACAGAAAGTGACCTTCCTGACACAGATGGGGAAGTGAAGAGGGTTTAGGCACAGGGCTGAGATACAGCCTAACCTCGACTTTTGAATAGATCACCCTAACAGTTTCATGACAGATGGATTTGAAGGGGACAAGTATCTAGTTGAGAAGATGGGCTAGAAGGCTACCACTGCTGTCCAGGAAGGTGATGAGGGCTGAACTAGATCACCAGAGCCACAGAGGAAAGAAGGGATTTGAGAAATGTTTTGGAAGCCCATTCAGCAATACTTGGGATTGATTAGCCTCAGAGATGAAGGGAGCGTCAATGATGTCACTGTCATTGCTGGTGTGGGAATCCAACTATATATTGATACATTGAGCCAAGTCAAGGAACAGGGGGAAAGAGAAGGTTAGAGGGCCCGTGAAGATGATGAGTTCCTTCTCACTGACCACTCAGGTTCCAAACACAGAAGCACAGAAACTACAGATGGGGCTAACGGCACACAGTCCAGAGCCCCACTGCCCCGCAAAAAGAATTTCCTTAGCGGTCTCCACTATATCCTCTACTGGCTTATCAAAATGCCTGTAGAGGATATAATGGTGACTTTGGAAAAGTCTTTGGAAAAACTACTTCAAACACAGGAAAGGCAGGGCCAAGATGCATACTATAACGTTCTGCCTCTTATATAAAACAATATATGTGGGATGAGTTGGATAAAGTTCTTCCTAGGGATGGGGGGTTTCTCTTTTCTGACTCTGACTGAATAAAAAAACAGACTTGGCTATATTATTCAAAGACAACTGAGTCACAGGAGGTAGGAGAAAATAGGAACACTATCCAGTCTGCTACGGGGAGATGAATTCACGTGTGTGTAGTGGTCACAGCAGCTGTGAAAGAGTCTCTGTCAGCAGCTAAGTGGAAAATGAGGGCAATTATGGTATCCCCACATTCCCCCACTCCTCCCCATCTTCTCCCATTTCACTCAACTGTACTATTAAATATTCTGCCTAACCAAGCTCAGAAGCAACAACATTTAACCTGAAAACTGACAATGAGTGGCTCATCAATGAATTCTAAGAGTAATATAAAGAGCCAATGCCATATTACATGTTCCCTGTGGCAACTTCCTGCCGTTAAAGCCCATGGACCCCAGAGTCCACTGTAGGCCCCAAGTCTGGGTTGAATACCAGCTTAGCCACCGCCCCCCACCAAAAAAGCGCAATAAATTGCTCTACCTCTTCAGTGTCCACTGTGAGAAACAACCGAAATAACGTATGTGAAAGAACACTGCAGGCCGTTAGGATCTCTGTAACTCTACATGGTGTCAAAGCACCACCACATAATATAGGCAACAACTGTTTGGGAACAATCCCTTCACTTTCCCAAAAATAGTCTGTCCAGCTGAACCACAACATAAAGAACCCAACTTTCAACCCATCCCTGTCCAAGGCTAACCCCGTCTGACAAAACCACCCTGAAGAGCCTTGCTATAACCAGTTATTTGCTATTGGACTACCCTGGTTTTAAGTTATTGCACTTTTCATAATCTGTAGTTACTTCATGTCTCACCACGAGAAGGCCAACCCCAAGGAAACCAGAAATCCTAGCCATCGTCTTCATGCTCTCCCTCCTAGCCCCAAGCACCCTACAGACACCAAAGTGTCCAATACATGTCTGCTGAATGTGTGAACATAATTTTAATACAAAAAGTAAAACTATCTCTATAAAATTAACTTACCTTCTAAAATTATGTTTGAATCTTCTACAGCATTATCTAAAAAAAAAAACCAAACACATTTTACATTAACTCACACTAGATTCCTAAATTAACTTATCTCTACTAAGGTAACTAAATTTGGCTCTTTTTAGACTAGGGCCTTCTTATGGAGACTCATAACTCTTTATATTAGCATATCAACTTTAATTCCTAAATTATATTCAAAGTATACTTCAAATAGGCTGACATCATCCCTAATGACATAAAACTCGCAACATAAGTACAAAGGAAAGAATATATTGACAATATGCAATTACCTCCTTGGAGACTTGAAAGTGTCTTGGATTTCTGACTACATCTGTCTTTGTCCCACAAGTTAACTGAGTTTTAATAAATACAAGGGTGGGGGGGTGCTGACTCACAGGAAACACCCATTTAGAGAAAAAGCTTACCTGAACTTTCTAGACCTTCATTTTCCGATGGTTCGTATACTAGAAAATACACAGAAAAAATAATCCTTTAGGGCTACATAACTCACTGTGACACAACATTGGCTGTATGGTTTCATGAGCAGAGACAATGTCTAATTCATCCTTGAACCCCTGGGACTTAGTCACTGGCAAGTGGTAGGCTATAGAGCAGGATAGGAAAGAGTCTGGTGTGGAGTCAAACACAGATTCAAAGTCCAGGTCGGCCACCTTTTAGCCATAGGAGATGGGGAAGAACCTTAATTTCTCCCATTTTACAAATGCTTTCTTCATGTAAAATGGGAGAAATTAAGGTTCTTCCCCAGTCACTGGTTACCAGGATCCAAAATCTGTTTAGGTCCTGGTGGCACTGAATTTCCCTTTTCTATCTTTCATGTCTGTGGGGGAGGATTCTGGGCTTTCACCAGGCAGATTCTCTGTTTGTTTAGGTAACAACTCTCTGATCTTCCACCTGGAGGCAAACACTCCCGGTGCCAGCCCCTCAGAGTGAGGGTTCAGCTGGCAGGCCATGAACTCACTGCCCGATTTCTCTTGTTTAGTTGCACGGGGCTCAGGGCTCTCTGCTTTGCTGCAAAGGAGGCTCTGGTCTCTTCTTTTGGGCTCAGCTGGGTCACACATCTTTCTTGGTCAACCCAATCCCAGCTTTTTCCATTCTCCAAAATGCCTCAAATTTTCTGGTTCACTTCGAGTGAGCTTTCTTATTTTCTTACCACAGTTATGAGTGTATTCTTTATAATCATTTAATAAAGAAAATTTTTTGAGCAACTACTATATTTCAGATACTAATTCTCAGTGCTGGGTAGAGTAAGGGACAATTTTAATCCATCAACTTTTGTCCTTCTGGTGGTACTGGTAAGAGAGAGGAGCAGCATGTTTTTGCTCACTCTGTCACTTTGAACTCTGTTGTATTTAAACCTGCTCAAGACTCTACCAGCTTAAAGAAAAAAAGCCCTTTCTTGAGCCTACTTCCCCTTGCCCCAACTCTCCCCTCCATTTCACAATCTCATTTCTTCAAAGAGTCATTCACATTTGCTATCTCACCCCTCACTTCCTTCCCCAAACACTGCCATCTGCTTGTGGCCCTGACTCACCCCTGCCAAGGCTCCTCAGAGACCACCTCATTCCATCTAATGGACAAGCTCCACCTCACCGAGTTAGAGCTTCCAGCAGCTCCTCCCTTCTTAAACACTTCAGTGTGACTGTGTTCTCTTTTCATTTCTTCCTTTCTCCTCCTCAATCTTCTTCTTCACCTGTCCTAGTCCTACCAGGCACGAAATGTTGGCTTTCATCGAAGGCCAGCCACAGAGCCACCCATACCCCTACACTGTCCTCCCTCCATAAGTGATCTCAGCCTTTGGCTTCAATTATCTTGTACAGACTCACCACTCCCAAACTCACAGCCACGAATGCGAGTTCTCGGCTGAGATCCAGGCACCACCAACTAGGTTATTATATATCCCCCTGGATGTCACGACAGACACTGTCAACATGTACAGACTGGACTCACAGCCTCTTGGCCCGTTCCTGTTTTCCAGTCCCGTCTTAGGGAAAAAGCACCACCATCCATCAAAGGCACGAGCCAGAACGGTAGACGGGGTTCCTGATACCTTGCTCTTTGCCCCAGCTACACCCACACATCATGCCCCGTCAATTTTTTCTCCTTACATTTCTCATCTTGTCCACTTCCCTTCACTGCCACCACCCTGGTTTAAACTACTTTATCTCTGTCCACCTTCATCTGTGTCCCTTGACAACGGCTCCGGCCAAGGTCACCAGGGGGCCACTGTCCTACTAGATGCAATGCATGTGTGACCCCACGCGAGGGTCCTCAGCAGCATAGGACACTGCTGAACATCCCTTTGCTGAAACTCATCTCCTCTGACTGCTCTTTAGGCAGAGATGGGACCCAGGGCAAGACTGGATTGGAATAACGGCACTAAACTAACTGGTCTCCCCATATCCACTCCTCTCTCTCTCCAGTCTACGTGCTACATGTCAGACCGATTGATCTTTACAAAATGCACATCTGATTTTGTAGTGCCTCGAACAATGCCCTGAGGGTAGGTGAATATGCCTGACTAACTCTAGGCGTCCTCTGGACCCCAAACAGTGCAATGTCAGCCCAGATTACACTGCCGGCCCTCCAGACACATCTTCGCACCTTAGAGGCTTCTTACGACATTCCGCCCGCCCACCTTCCCCTTGCCTTGTCAATGGCTCTAATCTTCCCTTCCAACTTCGGGGAAGCCTTCCCTGGTCTACAAACTAGGTAGGTCTCTTCGCTATATACTCTTGTTACACACTGTCCTTGTTCTCACCAGCACTTAGTGCAATTTCAAGTAAACACTAAATTGAAGTTATTTGTGTGATCAAACCATGTGTGTTCCTCGCTAGAACGGCTCCAGTCCTGTTTCCTGTTTTAGACATAAAGTAGTTAATACGTATGCATTATATAAATAAATCGATCAGATGGTAAGCCGGTACTGTCCGATCCTAGGTATATCCAATGTAGGCTTAATGCTTTCTAGATTTTCAGTGTGGAAAGCTGGTTCCCTCCATAGCTTTAAGAAGCCACTTGTTTTCCAGGTTCTACATGTAGGAAGTTTAATATGGAATATATTCTGTTCACCTACTGAAAAATGGTTTTGTTTTCACCCTACTTACTACTCACTTACATATGTTCACTTGGCTTCCCTAGTTGGTTCCTGAATGCCATAAATGTATCTTGTTAGAACACTGTGAATAATCCTAGTAATACTTCTATCAAACCCCTTTTGTTTGAAAAAGTTCAGGTTCTATAGCAAGGTAATCTAGGTATCTCAAAATCTTGTGATCCAAAGTATCTCAAATCTTGATGACCCCTTAGGTCCTATTTTATTATTCTTTTTTAACATGTTAAAATTGTGCTTATTCTGATACTCTGCCTATGAAAACACACTTATTTTTATAACATCTTTTTTTAACACAGTATCTAATTTTACACTTCTTTCCAGTTTGATTTTAAGGTTCTCTGGATCTAGTCTGCTAACTGTCTTCCAAACATGTTCTTCCTAGCACATTTAGACAAACACTATAATGAGTGGCAGAAATGAGAAAAGTATCTCATCTCTACACATAACTTTTATTTCCAAATTTCTATTCTCTCCTTTAAATTTGAAACTGAAAAGAAAATCTAGACCCAATCATACTGGCCAAGTTATTTAATTTCTTATAAAAATATTAGTTCTTAAAGACAGAATCCAGGATGCTTCCAATGGCATCATTCATACTCCATTAGAAATAGCCACTGTGACTGGTCATCTTTGTAGGGCCTTAAATCTTAAATACATGTCCTTAATAAATTAGCATATCAGGTTTATACACAGCCAGTCCTAATTTTCTTCAATTGAGAACCACCAACTGTCATGAAACCATATATTTCTTGAGAGTAGGGACTCCATATTGCTCCTATTTGAATGTCAAACCATTCACCCCCAAACCATCAGCATGTAAAGTCCTCTATATCTGACTCAAGCACTATACATTTCTCCGTCCTTCTTGCTTCACACACGAAGTTATGCTCAACTGACTCTATTCCTTTTACAGAGTCATCTATGAAGGTGGCAGAATAAAAATGATATACCATTGGCTTTATCATTTCTTAGTCATATTATCTTATGCAAATCACTTACATTCTCCGAACCTTATTTCTTTCATCTCGGAAGTCGCAAAAAATAGAATCTACTTTGTGGAGTTTAATAAAACAGGCTGGGGAGTGCTTTGGCAACAAACTGAAAATATAAATGCCCAAATCTGAATCTAGTGCCACTCATGCCAAAAACATGCCCAAACTCTTTTGTTTATGCCACTTTTAAGCCTGCAGTGAAATTCTTTTGTACTTTTCTTCATGCCAGTAGACCCATCTCCTTTAAGAGTGGGATTACTTTGTAGAAGAAACTAGAGTAGTTCAACTTTCACTAGTTTTCTATGCATCAGACATTATGTTAGTCGAAAGAGAGCTAAGACTATAAAGTAATGAGATAAGTTTTCATGAATAATTTTTAACTGCTTCTGAAGGCAACTTGAAAAGAGTTTAAGATTTTATTTAGTCAATGGCCGAACCAATGGGGGAGGTAAACAATCTCCCCAAGTAAATTCTTTGAAAACTCCCATTCATTTGGAGATTTTAAGTTACGGTATTTGAAGCTTAAAACACTACACTCTATAACTCTAAAAACTATGAGTAGTCTTAAAACAAGTAAATGGTTTAAGGCTGAGAAGCATTTTCAAACCTGGTTCATCATAGTCTTGGTATGTAAGGTCATCTGCAAAAAAGATAATAAAACTCAGTATTAAACAGGTCATTCTATGCAACTGCTTAGCTAAAGAAAACATAGCTTAATCTCAAATACAGAATTCTGTTCTCTTAAATATCAGTGTCTGCGGTCAGTGATAGGTGCCTCTGCCCCAAAAACACTAGACACAAGGACAAGTAAATTATTTTCATAAAAATTCTTCAAACTAGCATAAAGTAAGATATGCAAAAGTAGCATTAAGGATTAACATCCTGTATTGTCATGGTGCCAGTGTAGATGAGCTAAAATATGAAAGCCTGATACTCTTTTCATAATTGAATCTTGTTACAAAGCAAAAAGAGTTGTATTAGGTGTTAGGATTCCTTCTCTGACTCCTTTGAAAGAAAAATCACTTTAACATAGCATTACAACCATAAAGCCTTGAGTAATGTTTACAGTCTAATGAAAATATTCATTCAGTACCTGCTTCGTGGTACCTTCTTTCATCATCACCCACTACTGGCTCCATGGAATCTAAAAGGAAAAACATAAACACCTTTGTCAAACGTGAAAAAACCAAATACATTACTAGATGCCATTCTGAAATATTTACAAATTAATTCCAATTTTCACAACTGGGTGAGATAGATATTATCATTATCATTCAATAAAATTTAAGCTGAATAAAGGTCCATAATTTGCTCTCTCGGTCACAAAGACAGGAAGGAACAGAACCAGTGAGACTCCACTACACCACTCCGCCTTGTCAATTCCCAAATTGCCTTCCCAGCATCCTATCTACAAAGGGCAAAGTCCCAATGGTGGTTTGAAAAATACATCTCCTTTTTCCTCATTCCTCCAGGTAATATTAAACTATATTCAGGAAATTCTATAAATGTCTGGGCAACCAAAAAGGACTGTGAGTATTATAAAGAAGACTCTGTCGAATCTGAGAGAATCATTAACCCCGGGGTAGAATGGCCTCGGCCAGTGCCTTAAACAGAAACATATCACAAACCTGGATTGTCCTGCTCATACATCATCTCTTCCATATCCTGATTATAAACCTGTGAAGCTGTAAGTTAAGAAATGATTAGGAAATTACAAATCTATCTCAAGAAGGATTGTACTTGATACTCAAAATAGGAAAAGCATAATATCCAGAGTGACAGAAATGTAAAATCAAATCATAATGATGCTCACATTTATAGTCACCCAGGCACTCACTTTGGGAAGTGCCAAACACAAAGATGAATGAGACAGTCCCCATCATCAATGGGTTTATAAATGAGCCGCAAACTGGTGAGGCTATAGTCTCACTTAGATTATACAAATTCAACTATATTCAGCCAAAGACTAATGAGACAGAGACAGAGAGAGAGAGACCAGAGATGGAGGGGCAGGTGAGCCCTCCTCCCGTCCACTCAGCAAGCACCTGCTGCAGAGCGTGCCTGAGGAAGGGCACACGGGCCTCAGCCCCTCACCCTTGGACCCAGTACCTGAGTACTCCCAGATCGCAAAACAATTCTAGCATTTGTTGAAGCGATATAGGTCCTTCATGCCAGCCAAGGATATCATGGGATCCTCAAGCACAAAGAAAGGGATCTATTCTAGCACCGGAAGAAAAACTGGCCAACACAGGCTGACTGAGAGATGACATGTCCATCTCCAGTGTGGCCATATCTTCTGGGGATGCGTGACTAGCGACAATACACAATTTTGACCTTTCTTTGACTTTGTAATTTAAGACTACAAACATGTACTTCTACTGTATCTCTTGGCCTAGCCATCCCATTACAGTGTATTTATCTTCAGGAGTAGACTTCAAAAGCACAAAAACTATATTCACAAAGAAACATATAGATGAAATTATGACATAATATATCTAAGTTATATATAATTATCTATATATTTTATGACATAAAGTATATTAATAGATAACCATAGATAATGTTTTCTCTCATGATGCTCTTTTTATAAGAAAAGACTCATTCTAATTAAAAGAATAGTATTAAGTTTAAATCTCACCTGTCTCTTCTACAGGGTAACTATCTTCAGTTTCTGAAAAGAATAACACAAAATCAATATTACTACTTTCATCAAGTTGTATGCATATATACTATAGATTTAGATCCTGCATCTATGCTTGTCATTGATTTTATTTTGAAAGCAAATAATTATTAAAATAAAACATAAAAAAAATTCCATTAACTGTTTGCTAAACACTTTATCTTCTACTAGAACTACACTTAGAAATGCCTCATTCTTTTCGACCCACTCAATGCCACCAGAGCCTGGACTAACGAGAGGATGATTTGAATAGAGGAACACAGTGACAGGGCTGGACCTGGAAAGGGGGCTGTCATGGTCTACTTCACATTCCACCATGGTGTCCTGTTGTCTAGAGCAAAAGCACAGTCTACAGATGGGAACACAAGGAGAGACAGAGGAGACTTTCTAAGACGGGGAGCTGAAAGGTAAATGGTTCATAACTGAACCCGCAGACCCCCAAGAGCAAAGGGTTGCTGCCACAGGATTCTCACCACTCCACTGAACCTTGTTAATTTAACAACTACATGAAGTGAGAGTATTTTTAATTTCTGAAGACTATCAATAAACAACTTTTAAGTTCACACTGAATCTATGTCCTAATTAAAAACTATGTCAGAAAGTAAGGTATTCTCAATTTATAAACTTTTTAGAAGTATTTCTTCCTACCCCCAATCTATAACTCCTAACCTCAAAAAATATCAAATGCGTTATGTTTCAAGTTATTTGAGAGTCTTAACTGAAATGTGTTATGTAAGCAGTACCTAAGATACCAAAATTCTGAGTAACTGTCAATCTTCCTGACCCAGCTTTGCTGAAGACAGGAGGGAGCAAGAGATAACAGGAAAATGTGGAAATCATTTAGTCAGCATCCCTTACTTAGAAATTAGAAACATTTTTTTTTTCCCAGAGAGACTGTAACATACATGATAACAAAAGGTCCAAAGCTTTTTTTTTTTTTTAAGATTTATTTACTTGTTTGAGAGAAAGAAGGAAAAAGAGGGAGATTGAGAGGAAGAGAGAGCAAGTGGGAAGAGGCAGAGGGAGAGGGAGAGAGAGTCTAGAGCAGACTCCATGTTGAGCATGGAGCCAACATGGGGCTTGATCTCACGACCCTGAGATCACAACCCTGAGATAACAACCTGAGCCAAATCCAAGAGTCCTATACCACCCAGGTGCCCCAAAGTTCTCAAGTTCTAAAGCTGGTCTAGAAATGCCTATTTTCAATGCACAATGTAGCTGAACTCATATACAAGCTCAAAATCATTTTGAGTGTACATTTCTCATAGAAAATTATGCATTATATACACTTTTGTAGCTTGGTATGGAAACCAAACCATTGGTGAGAACATGATTTCTATGGAAAAGTGTATTTCCTGCTCTCAACAATAAGCATGAATGTAAGTTTTTAAAATATGTTCATTCATATATCCAGAGTTTCTTGCTTTTAGTTTTCCAATGCACTACATATTGTGAAAAGGAGATACACTTTACTTTTTCGTTACTCCTTTGTGCTTTAAATAAAGGTCTTAACAATCATTTACCAATTTTACTGTGACCAGGCTACCTCTCCACTCAATGTTTAGCCTGTACAGGCGCTATGCGTTCACCTAATTCCCCAGGGCACCGAGGTGCACATCTTAGCCTGTCCACACCCAGCGGTCTAGAACACAAGGGGAGGCATGTGCAAAAATCAACAGCCTGGCTGTGCTCCTGCTGAACCGCGGCTGCGCTGTGATAGGACCCGGGGAGCTGGCACAAAGATCCATTCTGGAGGCCGCCCCCCAAAACATTCTGGTTCACTGAAAGCATTCTTTTAAAAGCTCTCTAGGCAATCTTAATTGCATCCAATGTTGAAAAATATTTGTAGGGATATCATATTCATATTCATAAGAAATTCCCTCTCTGAATCCAAGACCTTCTTACTTTGGCCCATATTCATAAGAAATTCCCTCTCTGAATCCAAGACCTTCTTACTCTGGACCTTCCTGCCTTCGCTGGTGCTATGGATTTCATTTACTGCTTGTTTCTCTGTCTACCTGCCTGAACTTGATTTAGGCTTAGCTAATCCTTAAACCCTGCCAGACACCTCTTATCCAGATCCTCTGCGGCATGCGGGGCTATGTTGTTGCATGGGTCCTGATGCAACTTAACCATAGACTCTGATGATTATTATACGGTGGAACATAATGGGCTAGATGGTTGATTTTGTGGTGGATGCTCTCAACCTTTTTCTTTAGTTTTACTCTTTAGAAATGAAACACCCATCTCAAACTATGTTTCAGTAGTATTCACTTTAGGTATAAAGTTATATACACACAAATATGTCATTTATATACTTCTAAATAAAACATCATTAATCAACCAGAGTACAACCTGTGGATTAAAATCTTTCAGGGCACCTGGCTGGCTCAGTGGGTAGAGCACGTGACTCTTGATCTCAGGGTCATGAGTTAAAGCCCCACATTGGGGAGAGAGCTTACTTTAAAAATAAATTAATTAAAAAGTTAAAAAAAGAATCTTTCAACAGCTCATTAAAGTCTTAAGGGCCACCTTAAAAAAGATCTGAGAATAGATACCATAAGAACAAAGCATGTGTGCTCATTTAATAAGGCTTCAAATAAATACTCATGGTAGTGTCATATTAAAACATAGCAGAACACAAAATGTATGAAAAAACGTTTTCTTCATCAGAGAAATTCCTTCTCTCTATAGGTCAACAGTGAATAACTGCACCTCTAACTTGCCTTCTGCAGATGATCCAAGGTAAGCTACTCAATGGATTTTTAAATAACCAGCATTTAATGGAAGACACTGATACAGAACAGATATCAGCAAACTAGGATTTTTGTACATAAAGTTTTCCTGAAACATGGCCATATGTATCCCTATACCTACATATACCTAAAACGTAGGTATTATTTAAGGCTACTTCTGCACTATTGACAGCAGAACTGAGTAGTTTCAATAAAGGCCATATAGTTTGCAAAGCCTAAAATACTTACCCTCTAGCTATCTCCAGGAAAAATGTTGTCAAAGCCTGGTATAGAAGCTAAGAACTGTGTTCTATAAACTGTGAGTATGGAGTCCAGGAAAAATGTTGTCAATGCCTGGTATAGAAGCTAAGAACTGTGTTCTATAAACTGTGAGTATGGAGTTCATATTAGAACAAGAGTCTGTGACAGATTGCCAAATAAAATATTTCATCAATTTTCTGAATTTCTTCTGATACATGGCACTCCAGGAAGAAAGGCACAGTAGAAGCAATGTGCTAAAGCATTTCACTTACTATTTCTATAAGGACTTTATATATTCTGACAGTTTCCTTTAAAAAGTGCTTTGAGGGGCACCTGGGTGGCTCAGTGGGTTAAAACCTCTGCCTTCAGCTCAGGTCGTGATCCCAGGGTCCTGGATCGAGCCTCACATCGGGCTCTCTGCTCGGCGGGTAGCCTTCTTCCCCCTACCCCTCTCTGCCTGCCTCTCTGCCTACTTCTGATCTCTGTCTGTCAAATAAAAACATAAATTTTTTTTTAAAAAAGTGCTTTGAATCAAAATCAAAATTTCTATTTATTTTAGGGAAAAAATTAGTTTTAATTGGACTTCCCAGCTTCCACTTAAAAAGAAACTTCAGATAAAAATTAAATTTTGCTTTTAAAGGTGTTTAAGAAAGACTTTAATAATCATAATCACAAAGTGACTGCTGGGTTTTATTCTGAAACCAAAAGACGTTTCCTACCTTCATGAAATGTTCTGGTCTCCAAGGGCTCAAATCCATCATCTGCGTCACTTCCTACGAGGAAATCATCATCTTCCAGCTGTGGTTCTCTTGCTTGTCCAGCCTCTTCTTGCTGCACATCATCGTCTCCTTGAATGGTCACAACGAACAAAGTCACACAAGTCCACACCAAGGTGCCCAGAGGCAGCAGCTGACACGGGACACGTAAGCCTCTTCCGAAGTTCTGCCACATACCCGCTCCTGCTGCTGGGCACTCCCTGCCCCTCGTCTGGGCCATCGCACATGCTGTTGCCCGCTCTGAGCCTCTGTCCTCACTCTGGTCAAGTGCTAGTCCACCTGAAGGGGGCAAAGGCCTTCTCTCACTAGAACATGAACTCACCAAGCACGGGGACCTCATATATTTACTTACTATGTACGCCCAGCACCCAGGGCCTTGCTTAGCCATAAGAAATGCTCAGTAAGTATTTAAGGAATGAATAAAGGAATTCCTAATTGCTAATGTATTTGCCTCTTCAATTATCACCAGGTTAGAGAGAAGATCACCTTGGGACCGCTCACTGAGAACTGGTCTAAAACTCCACATACCAATCTTAAGTAACTCTATAAAATGCTCTGTTGCAAAGAATGGCCAAACACCTCTGTCAGCTGTATGCTAGGTCATCTGCATCAGGTCACATGTACTGCACTTTGCATCTAAAGGTTGCTATGTGGAGCCTGTAAGTTACACAGAAATGCCTATTCTTCTCTTCTGAGACGAACTTTTATGATATCCTGAGCTGTTCTGCTTCTTTTGTGTAGATGCTGGATAAGCTACGTATCCCGCTGAGATATGGTTTAGCCTGTCGTCGTGGTGTAAGAAACTCTCCCAGCAGTAACCTGATGTGGCTTCAAGCAGAGTATGTCTTATACATAACACTCCAGCCAAGCAACACAAGCAACTTAGCTATGCTCACAGGGCCATAAGGGGCTCAGGAGTGTGGGGTCTCGAGTGTGTGGCTCCAGATCTAGTTTTTCCACATCAGCTGTGACACCCCGGAGAAATTACATAACTACTTTGTGCCAAAGCCTTTTCTCCCATAAAAAGGAAATAGTAGGACTTCCTCCTTACAGCCTTGTTGTGAGAATTAAAGCATTTGGACAACTGCCTAGACCACAGTAACTACTCAGGTGTTACTGTTCTCGTGTTATTCTTGTTGTCATCGTCATCGTTATCATCATCAGGTTATTGCTATTTCTGCTGCCACTGAACTCTCCTCAAACACTGCAGGAAGGCTTCCTTCCCTCACCTTTAACATGGCGTAGCAGTGTCCTCTGCTGGTACTGAACTGTATGGGCCCATTTATGGCCACACTATCTATTTGTTTTCTGTCTTTCAGTCAGTCACAGCCTGCTACGTTGTTTCTCCTCATTTCAGGTTTTCTGCTAATCGGCAAACCAATCGCCAATTCTAACTCCTGTCCCTGATTTTACCATACCCCCTCTTCCATGTTCTTTTTTCCTTACTCTTACGTTATCCAGGGCAACTTCATAGTTTTCACATGAGCAGGATTTAACTCTTGGCCACCGCTACTTAATGGAAAGTCCCTGTTTTCAGTAGGGAAAGCAACCGAACGTCATGCTTTATCTGAGTCTCCCTTGCTCCATCAGTAACAGCCCAGTAAAACAGTTCCCTGAAGGCTGACTACATCTGAGGCACTGCCAAGCCCTCTTCGGCCATTATAGTAACCCTAGGAAGTAGGTACTATCATCCGCCTTTGAAGGACAAGGACCTTGAGGAACTCGGCTAAAGCCACACAGCTAGTACATGATAGCCACAGGCCCCGAAACAACACGATGAAGTGCAGAACGTGCGGCCAGAGTCTACGACAGAGATGGTGCTCAGGGAGGCCATGTTTTGACCGGAAAACACACACACACCAGCTAGAGATAGAGCAGGTACAAAGGTCCTGAGGCAGACAAACTTGGCAATCACAAGGAAAAGAGAGCATCTGCACTGGAGGAAACTGAGAGGAGAAAAAGAAAAAGAAAAGGTCCCCATAAGGCATATCAAACACAAACCCAACTGGACGCCTCTGCAGCCATCATACAGGAGGGGACAGTGACGCTGCCACACTGCGGTCCAGATGCATGCTTGGAGGCCAAGCTGGAGGGACCTGCCCATCGGTCCCGTATGAGGCAACAGGAGGAGAGAGAAAAATAAGGAAAACTCCCCAGTTTTTAGCTTAAGCTACTAAGTAGGGGTCAGACCATGACCTAAATATAAAAGAGTGGAATAAAAGTACAATTTTAGGGGGTGGGGGAGAGCTTTGAAATGCAAAGGAATCGAGAATTGTGTTTAAGTCCATTTTGAGTCTGAGATGACCATAAAACACGCAAATGGAGATCAACAGACAGTTGGATAAGCCAGGAGCTCAGAGGACATAGGGCTGCAGATATATACTCGGAAGCAACACAAATTACATTTAAATTCATGGCCTCTGTGAATTTCTAAGTAAAGCAGAGAGTAAGTCCAAGAGGAAGGCTTGCGGCCAGAAACCCAGGCATGCTAGACTTGATTCCTCCCCCTTCTGTCTGGCTTCCTACACCCACCCATCCAAATGTCTACCATATCGTCCCACGCTTCTCTCTCCCCACCTTGGCTAAATTTGGTTCGACCGACCATCCTGACCCACTCAGATCACCAGTAGGGCCCCCATCTCCTCTTCCCGCAGCACACTCCCTCCGCTCCTGTTCACGGGCAGACAGACGGCACAGCGCTCCCTAGTGCCCTCCAGTGGTTCGGATTCCTCTGTGAATCAAGTACAAACACCCTTTGCCAATCACTCTCCACCTAGGTACTCCACTGGCCCGCCACCCTGAACTACCCTCGGATCCTCTTTTCCTCTGGGCTTGTCCACGTGCCATGCCCTTTGCTTGGGACCCTCCACGAACAACACCCACCTGGCAAAGCATGACCTTCAGCTATTAAGTCCTTCAGCTATTAAGTCAGAAAATCACCTCTTTGGGGAAGCCTTTGCTAATGCCAACGTCTATGCAAGGCCCACACAAAGCCATTACAGTTCACTGTTACAGCACTGTCCTCGTCATACTGAAATCCCTGATTTATTTAGACTGCATCATCCTTATGTTAGGTTAGAGTTGAACCAAAGATGTAGGAAGGGAAAGCCCAGGCTCGCCCAGAGGGGCAGACACACGCTCAGAAGCAGCAGCTCTCCTGGCTGAGTAGAAAAGCCAGTAATGCACAGACACGGGCTCCTAGACCCCAGAAAGCCAATGGCAAAAACCCCCAGCTTAGCTGCAGACAGTCTCCCCAGCAGGCACAGACAGAGACGGATGGGATGCTTTACACATAACATCCAAACACCCAGGACTGAGGAAAATGGTTTAGCACGCCTGCTAAAGCAATTTCAATGGTAGAGAGTCCCAGTTGTTTTTAAGAAACATAATTTTTTCCTTTAGGACTCTCTTCAGCTGACAGCAAACCATTAGGCATATCAGGCTACCATGTGCTCTGCCTTCTTCAAAATCCCTTTGTGAGCTACATCTTGGGGTTACACGCTCTACTTTTATCAAGGGGTGTTACAAGAAACAGGCTCATAAAATCTTAAAGCGTGGGTTTCTAAAGTATCATTTAATATTCTCTGTACAGAACTGCATGTAAGAAATGCTTTAGATGTAAGATTTGGGGAAATGTTTTATATTCTCTATGTAGATAGCATGTTCATTTCCTCCCTGGTAATATGACTGATGTACTTTTTGCTCTGGCGACCACCCAAGTGTGCAGCAGGTTCGGCGGCCGACAGCAGCCAGATAGCCCATTACAGCTTGCCTGGTTGTGTTCTACTTTCCTCTTCCCTGTTCTTGCCATCTGTTCCTGATGTATCATTGGTCTTAACTCATTTCTTCTTATTTATTCCTACCATTTCTTTATTAAACCTATGTGATAAGTTCCTTAGCATTAAGGCGGGAGAAGATAAAATGAGTCCAGTGCTCTCTCAGAAATACCTGCCTCCAATAATTAAAAAAAACACACTCAGTTATGACTTAAATTTAAAAATCATGTCAAAGTCACTTCATGTAATTAACCACTATTTGAGAAAGCAATGCATGAGAAAATGGGTTTTAATTCATACCATGTTCTGTGTAGACTGACTCATGGAGAAGGGGCTGAATTTGCTCTTCTACCTCATCTTCAATATTCCGAGGTCCTAAAATGATTACAAAACATAACTAAGTATAAAAATATCTAGATATTAATGAAGAACATGAAACATGACATCCAGGTACACACATTTCAGTGAATATATTTGGTTCATCAACTATGCTACCTTTTCATATTCATTTGCCCCCTTTTTATAAGTTGGCAAACACAGTAAATATTTAAGATTGGTTTTATTTTGACAGAATATATAAATGTTTAGCAAACACCTCACAGAGCAAAATTACTTGTTTTCTAATTAACAAAATTCACAATCATGATAGAATAAAGAAAAGGGGATGGGCAAAGCTTTCAGGAGGGAAGTACTGGGAAACAAAGATTAAAATGTAGAAGATGAGGCCAATATACACGAAAGGGCATGACCAGTCACTGTCTTCCCTGACAGTCAGGAGAAAGGGCCCCCTGGCTAGTGTGAGGACTGAGAGGGTCAGAACTGAGGAGAAGACCCCACGTGAAAACTGGCAATCCTTTCAGCTTTGGAGAAGCCCATCCGCCAGATCCACAGATTGAAACAGATATAAATTACAAAAGTCAACACTATCAGTTAACGACATCCCGACATGCTTATCAGATTACCAGGTTTGTTGAAATGTGGCGCAACAAATAAGAAGCTGTAATGACACTGACACTGTGATAAATTTTAACAAACATCCACGTTCAGTAAATTAAAGTAGCGCTAGACTCAGTGTCACGCATGCTGTCACAGGAAGCAATGCCAATGACATCAGTTGGTTACCCTGACGTGTTAATCCTCGATGACAAAAACAGAGTAAACTCCTTTGAACTGCTTCAGGTAGGAAAAAGTTTAAGAGCCTGTTAGCCTAATCACATTACCAAACCATTCCTGAAGCACGGAAAGTACCTTCTATTTTTATAGATGGTTATATGGCACAAACCACGTTTATATGTATTTGCATATAATTACAGAAGAGCCTGCCAATCTCTGTTCTTCCCTCCTCGGCTCTCACAATGCCCATGACAGCTTCCTAACCAATTCCTAGTTTCACGACTGTTAACAGCACCATCCACAGAGAATCTAATATTAGTAACTAGAGTGGATGGCACTCTGCTCTTTTGCTTAACCCTCTAATAGCTCCCTCTGCCCGAACAGAGGAAAATCTAAGCTCCTCAGAACAGGACAGAAGACCTCCACAGTCAAGACCTGCTCCCATGCCTCTCCAGAATCACCTGCTACTAGCCCTGGCTTTGAACTTGGTGAGTCCACCATGCTGTTTCATCGTTCCATGATTCTGTGATGTTCCTCCTTTCCTCTGGGGAGGGTTAGTACAGGCAGAAGCTAGACTGTAGTGAGTTAAAAACTGGGTGGAAAATAAGGTGAAGAAAGCTACTGTAGATTCTTGTTTCAAAAATCTGGCTACTATAGGGCCGAGGACTGGCGGGCAGATACAAAGTTCTGTAGGGACCAAGAGAGGGTTTACTTTACTGTGTTGTAATGAAAGGTATGTACCTGGGTTTGTAGAACAGATAGAGAAGAGAAAGAAGCCAAAAATCTAGATAGTAGAAAGGTTGAAAGGCAACATTTAAACTAAACCAAACACTGCAAAGAAGTTGAAAGGATATGAGTTGATAATAAACTGATGGATTCAGAAGGACAAGTTATCAGTTAAATGTAGAGTAGTATGAAGAAAAATTTTTAAAAAGGAGAACAGAAGCAAATGGCACATTTCAGAGTGGGTTATTAGCTTTGAAAAAGAAGATTTTTAAATTATAAATTTATTTAGTGCAACGTAATGTTTGAGATGTTAAATCCAAATACACATTTAATTATAAGACTTTTTTTTTTTTAAGTAGCTTTTTTGCTTGAGTTGTGGTATTCTAAAGGATTGGGAGGGAGAGAGTAAATTCCAGGATTATGTTTTGAACAAATAAAAACATCAGAGCAGCATACTGATCTTAAAAGGGAGAAAAGAAAATCAAATATTCATACAGTGATAATAAAATTAGAGTACTGGAGTTGCCAGTAAATATGTAGTGTCATACCAAACACTTCCAATAGGTGGCAAAATGAAACCAAATTTGGGAGAATGATTAGTTAAAGGGAAAACGTGCAGCAATTAAATCGCACTTTGCAATAATACATATCACAGCACAAACAGGAAATGACAGTAATAGATTTGAATATCACTTGCCAATAACTTATTCACAGATTTTAGGAATTTTCTTTCTGTGGGTCACAGGCCCTTGGACGACTAAGGAGATACCTGAGTTTATCTATGAATTCATGTGGATGTACAACGGGCCTCCACAGCATTATGTGGGGGTCTGGGAAGTCTCTGACGGAGAAAGGGGACCCTCCTATTAGAAAGACTGGGAGCCCAGTAGGCCTCCGTTAGATCATGGAACAATGACGACACTTGTGTACACCGCATGTCTGACTGTGTTTTCACTGCAAGAAGTTCTGGAATCGGAGAAGCCCGGCATTTAGTTCATGGTGTTCCTAACTGCTCCTCTGTGCCTTCAATTCTTGATCCCCCAAATTAAAATTATCCTGTGTAAATTTTTACCAGAAAACATTAAGTTTACTCCAAAATCTCAGAAGAGAAGGAGAAAAAAATACATCATATTCCCGTAAACATCGTGACACAAATTATGGGTAAAGCAGCCTTCTGGAAACAGCCGGCGGCACAGGCGGCAGCCGGAAGCACATCCGGTCGGAGGTGGAGGAGCGCTTACCTGAGTCCTCGGGAACCTGCTCCTCCAGCCACGGGTATGGCTCAGCTTCTTCCGGTGGGACTGTTGGCTTTGAAGCAGATCTTTCTTTAAGGCCTGCATTTTTATTCACAAAGTTAACTTGAGTTTTTTTTCCTTTCCTTTTTTTTTTTTTTTTTTTTGACATATTAAGCCAGGAAAAACAATATTCTGGAACACTTCATCAATAGTGCAAGTAATTTAGTTTTCAAGACTTCGTACTCCCTGAGAATGTGGAGGTGCTTAAAATCTGAAGTCGGAAGGCAGACTGCTCTTTAACCTCACATGGGCCTTGGCCGTCTCTTTACCTAAGTTAACCTTTCACTTAAAAACAATAAAACAAAAAATCCCTGCTTAAGCGCTCACGGATCTCTAAAATAGTCCTGTCTATACTTGCCAAAAGAAGTTCAATATGAGTTCAAGCTCCCCGTGTTCAAAAGTGATTAATTAATTGCTGTTTCAGCTCTGAATCCAGCTGCAAGACAACTAAGATACACCTGAATTTGTTAATTTGTTTCAATGCCCTATTTTGATTTAGATATAATTGCCTGCTCTTCTTAAAAACTATAGTTAAAAATGAGAATCAAATCATACATAACTATTTACAGTCTTCTCAAGGTACCACTTACAATCATACTGTTCTATAAAGAGCTAAAAGACATGCAAACAAGGTTTTTTGGTTTTGTTTTTGTTTTTTTAAACGTCTTAAGGAAAATAAAACATCGGGGTAAATGAACATGAAAGCTGATTTTAAAAGTCAACACCAGTCTATATTAGACTAAATTACTTCTTTGATATTCTATTTGAAGAACATTAAAATCTACCTCAATTAAATACAACTCTTTAGAAAGCTAACCCAGGTCCCAGAGTCTGTCATTTCCTCCACTAGCTCCTGGCTCTATGTTAACCCCAGCGAGAATCTTGTACCAACAACTGTTACCAGAGGAAGTGTGTCATGCACGTCAATGACCTACAGTGAAAAGGTCAGTACAGAATTGAGAGGCATTTTTCTTCTCTCAAGCTCTTCAGACCAACTCTTAATGTCCATATGCTATTGTAATCTGCAAAACTCTCAATGTCTTTTACTTGTTTTTGATTCCTTGTATTTTTCCTGACTGTTCCCTTCTCTTTTCTCTCATTGGCAAAAACACACTCCCACCTTCTTCTCCCCAGTCCTAAAGAGAGTGAGACAGAGATACACAGAATTCTACCCCATCACTTATATTTGCTTCACACAATTTACATAAAAAACCTGACACTATCAAAACAAACACCAATGGATACAGCTGTGTTCTACTCCTACCAATATAGGGGCTTCGAACTATAACGTAGACTCCAAAGGGATCATACACAAATAACCATGAATCCTAAATGTAGTTCAATTTCAGGGGGAGATGGGTAGAGACGAAGGCCTTATTAATAAAACCCATTACATTTCAAAATTCAAATTTAGGATCGAAAACTCCCATGCTCTTTCCCATTTAAATAATCCCTTCCTCAATAGTCTCTCAACTGTTAAAGGAACAGGTATGAAACTATTCATTGCTACGTTCTGCTGAATGAATAGGGTAAACCTTCCAAATTGTGTCATTGATCTTTGTACTCTCAGCACCTCAGGAAATGCCTGGCACATAACAGGTGCCCATAAGCACCTGCTAGAGGGCTGAACGCCCCCAACAGTGAGGCTCCTGAGGTCTGCAGAGATCCTCTGTGACCAGGGCTCCATGGCAGCACTACAGAGGCGAAAGGCTATAAAGGTGGGAAAGGGGACTCAGATCAGTTTCCTACTATTATCAAAGAGATTCTTATCTGTGCCGGGCATCCACCACTACAGCCCAGGTTCTGTCCGTTGTGCTGCAATTGTTATTTCTTCTTCAGAAATATCTCCATTTGGATGGAAACTCACAGGTTCATTCTTCACTAATCCTCGATGCAGCAGGTTTTCAAATTGTGCTCCGTGGGTTCAATAAGCAGTGAAATAGTTCCCCACCAGACAATAAAGATTTAAACGGCCTGCAGATCCCATTCTTATTAGATTTTTAGGCAGTTTCATTTGAAAACAATTTTTGATGTGAGAAGTGTTTGAAAACTACTAGCATACCAATATTTAGACATATGGTTCTCCTCGTTGTCAGCCTTCTCTATATCAGCTGGAGTTATTTGTCTCTAAAATTGAAATTGTAGAACTACAGGAGAAAGCAAAAGCATATAACAAGAGAAAATATTGAGCAGTTTTCTTTCCTGTCGAAAGTGGCATCTGAATTGTAAATTTATTGGTACTTGGTCACAGCTATTTCCCAGAGATGAAATCAGCATTTATAAGTAAATAGTCTTGTAAACTTCAAAGCAGCTGAGGATCACATTAACATATCTCTCCTTCCCTAGATCCCCACTAACTTTCTAAAGTTAAAAAAGAAAAAAAAATGCATTCTAAACTAATTCTTACTAGTCTGCTAAGCCACAGGGAAGAATTAGGCCTATAAACTTTCATTCTGGTGTTTTGAGAAATTATATTGCCACCCAAATCAACTTTAGTCCATGAATAAGTGTTCCTCAGGAAACAGCAGTAAATCCAGGTTCATAAAAGATTTTAAGGCAAAAGTAAAAATTAAACAAGAATATATATATATATATATATATATATATATTCCCCCCCCAACCAGTAATCAAAGGTTTTCAAACTGGATTTATGACGAGGTATAAATGGTAAGGAGGTAGTCCTGAAATAAATGTTCAAAATTACATTATGAAACAAATGTCATCACTTTTGATGTTTCTGGGACTGCATAACAAAACACTGCCTCGCACTAGCTCCAGTGAAAAGGAAATTTACTGTGGAGTGCAGAGACAGGCAGGCTCGCTCTCAGCGCTTAGTGTTACCCTTGCGCCAGCCAGGCCATCAGGGCTCACCCAGCTGCAAGCTCCTCTATTGGACCAGAGGACATCCGGAAACAAAGAACCACCTCTTCCTCTGCTTCTCTCAGGACGTGAGGAAATCTTTGCTGGAAGCTCTTCTTTTCAGCTTTTAGAGTCAAAACCAGAACCCACTTCCATTCCTAAGCTGGCAAAGGGAACAGGATAACCATATTGCCTAAAAGTAATTATCTAGGGTTGAATGAAAGTTCCAAGTCAACCACAAGAGCCCCTGCATGATTTGAAGAATCAATTCATTGCCTTAAAGCATACCTTGTTTTTGGTTTTTTGGGCGCATCTGAAAAACTAGGAAATTAGAAAGAAACATGTCTGCATTTAATAAGTATATAATTTTTTTCCTACAATTTTAATTAAAAATGGAAGGTTATAAAGTAAGTGATGTGAGCACTTCAAGTCAAACATTCATAACCAACTTGACTATCTGACAGTTACTTTAGTCCAATATTACCTTACTTCTTTCACTGCTACCCTACTATACCCAAGAGCAATGGGAAATAAATGTATTTTCTTCCCATCTGTTTGTAGCAGTTTAAAACTTACTAAATTGCATGTGGCATTCATTCACTCAACAACTATTTAGCACCTACTAATGGAAGGCACTGCTCTCCAGAAAATGAACACTGAAAAGCCCTACTTCTCATAGGGAGGGAAAAATTTAAAAAATAAGAAACCTGAAATATTTAGAGAATATTGAACAGGGAAGATATGGGACAGGGCATGCCAGGCCATCAGGGAACGAGGACAGATTATCTATAGTGAATTGATGAAGAAGGGTCTCATTGATAAAATGTGAACAGATTCCTGAAGGAAACCAGGGATGTGGCCCTGTGACTTGCACCGGAAGAAGGTTCCAGGTAAGGCTCTGGACCAGCAAGTACAAATTTCCCAGATGGTCTGGGGTGAGCAGGTGCTGGGAGCTAGGAACAGTCATGTGGCCAGTGCAGCTAGAGAAAAGAAGCAAAGGCATGAGATTCAGAAAGGCCCTGGGGCCATTGGATCGTGGAGCTATTCACTCTGGCTGAAAATAAAGGATTCATTTTTCCTAAGAGTCTATACAAACCACTTCCTCAACAAAATCTGGGAAAGTGAGAATTACAAGTAGGATTTCAAAGACTTAGCCCATAAAAGCGAAGACATTTTAAAAAACTGGTTTATCGATCTTTGGCATACAGATTCAGTAGTGTAGAGATTGAAGAAAATTTTGATCTCACCTACCTAGGTTACTCCAGATGCTGAGATTCAAAGCGGAAGAGCTTAGGACTGCTACTGCTTCAAATGCAAGTAGTCTGACAGTATAAATTAATATACCCCAAGAATAACCCTAATAGGTACATGAACTTGAGAAATACTCTGGAAAACCGAAAAACCAGAAAGACGCACATACTGATGGACCACACTAATCGTCATTCCAGCTCCTTGCTTGTAAAATCAGCAAATACAGATCTTTGCAGGTATCCCAACTGCAGCCCTGTCAAAATTCTGAACCTGTCAGAAACTAAAAAAGCTGACCCATGATCTTCCGTAAGAGCCATTCCAGATTCAAAGCGTCTTCACGTGATCCAACATAGACAGACTGCCAGAAGAGGACGACCTCAATCTCAGAATGAAATTGCCAAAAGTACTCCTAAGACGCTGGGTTTCAGGACCGCTGAAGAGTCTCCACCAAGACTGGAACTCAGTGGGCTCGTGTGAACACGTGCAACACGAGACAGAAAACAGGAGCTCGGGTTCACGCACCGAGAGGGCCGCCACTGAATTCCACCTGAATCCCATCTTGAGCACACTACCACTGATGCAGCCTGGCTTTCCGCAAGTATGGGAAGGGGATAAAACTCTCGTCTTAGAAGGCAAGAATTAAATGAGAGAGTTCAAATCCAGCAAATACACACCCATTTTCTTCCCACAAATTAATTTTTCCCTTCATTTCTTCCAAAGAGCCGAATTTACCACCTTCCCTGCATGCATACAACGTGAACACAGCGATCGGCAACGTCCCAGTGGTTAAAGCATCCTGCAATCACAGAAATGCCTACACCTGTCTTCAAAAATTCTTTTTTCTTCTTTTTAGTATTACTCAATGGCATATACAAAGCTGAAGTATTTTTACATGATCTGGGCTTTGTATGTTCATCATTCAATAAGTATCTATTGGATGCCTATTATCCTCAGCTCTCATGATAGGTACTGGACATAAATCACAGTCTGGTAGAAAGCAAAATGCAGGAATGGCGCAAAATGATGAGCGTGATAACTGGGAAGACACGCAGTGTCCTCTCCCCTCCCCCGCCGCCCGGGAGGATCGGAGAGAATGTTAGTGCAGACGTGATGAGTCAGCTGGATCCTGCAGCAGAGGTGGGACATGGCCCACCGCATGAGTGGAAACACATTCTAGGCAGAGGGGAAGAGTGGGCAGTGCTGGCATTAGCTGGCTCCAGTTCATTATTTTCTTCCTCCACCCCTTGTTTATTTCCTAACATTTCACTGTAGAGACGACAGTCACCCTTGTCACTTGTATCCCCAGTGCCTAGCACAGTCTGGAATGCTGCAAATACTCAGAATATTTGTTGAATGGATCAATACATGAAAAAGAGAGATGATACTGCACATGGGTACTTTTCAAAAATAGCACAAAAGCTTTAAGTATATGTCTTCCTAAGATTTAAGTACATATCTTCCTCTCATCTCTTAGGGTACAAGACCAGTAATGTTTGAGGCAAGGAAGAAATAAATGACAGAACTCTATGATGTACAGATGCTAACGTAGAGTGATAAAAACACATAAAGTGAAATCAAATGAGGTATGAAATGAGAACAAAGAAAAGGAAGATAGAGGACTTCCTGCTTTGTAGGGCTTACAAGATAGAAGCTTTTGTGAAAACTGATTTCTATGTAAAAATGATACCCAAACCCCGGTAATAAACATCTAGGGCACGTGGTTTTACCTTCAGGCAAACAGAGGAAGGACAGGAGGCTGAAGACTGTTACTGGGGATCTTTTCAGATTACTCCAAACAAGATTTCCATGAGAATAACACTTAGCAGATCTGCTACATCATAACACCCACCCTTCAGTTTCCCAAGAATGAAAACCTTTTCTTTAACTAGAACACGGGGGGGGGGGGGGGGGGGGGGGGTCATATTAGAACAAGAGTCTGTGACAGATTGCCAAATAAAATATTTCATCAATTTTCTGAATTTCTTCTGATACATGGCACTCCAGGAAGAAAGGCACAGTAGAAGCAATGTGCTAAAGCATTTCACTTACTATTTCTATAAGGACTTTATATATTCTGACAGTTTCCTTTAAAAAGTGCTTTGAGGGGCACCTGGGTGGCTCAGTGGGTTAAAACCTCTGCCTTCAGCTCAGGTCGTGATCCCAGGGTCCTGGATCGAGCCTCACATCGGGCTCTCTGCTCGGCGGGTAGCCTTCTTCCCCCTACCCCTCTCTGCCTGCCTCTCTGCCTACTTCTGATCTCTGTCTGTCAAATAAAAACATAAATTTTTTTTTAAAAAAGTGCTTTGAATCAAAATCAAAATTTCTATTTATTTTAGGGAAAAAATTAGTTTTAATTGGACTTCCCAGCTTCCACTTAAAAAGAAACTTCAGATAAAAATTAAATTTTGCTTTTAAAGGTGTTTAAGAAAGACTTTAATAATCATAATCACAAAGTGACTGCTGGGTTTTATTCTGAAACCAAAAGACGTTTCCTACCTTCATGAAATGTTCTGGTCTCCAAGGGCTCAAATCCATCATCTGCGTCACTTCCTACGAGGAAATCATCATCTTCCAGCTGTGGTTCTCTTGCTTGTCCAGCCTCTTCTTGCTGCACATCATCGTCTCCTTGAATGGTCACAACGAACAAAGTCACACAAGTCCACACCAAGGTGCCCAGAGGCAGCAGCTGACACGGGACACGTAAGCCTCTTCCGAAGTTCTGCCACATACCCGCTCCTGCTGCTGGGCACTCCCTGCCCCTCGTCTGGGCCATCGCACATGCTGTTGCCCGCTCTGAGCCTCTGTCCTCACTCTGGTCAAGTGCTAGTCCACCTGAAGGGGGCAAAGGCCTTCTCTCACTAGAACATGAACTCACCAAGCACGGGGACCTCATATATTTACTTACTATGTACGCCCAGCACCCAGGGCCTTGCTTAGCCATAAGAAATGCTCAGTAAGTATTTAAGGAATGAATAAAGGAATTCCTAATTGCTAATGTATTTGCCTCTTCAATTATCACCAGGTTAGAGAGAAGATCACCTTGGGACCGCTCACTGAGAACTGGTCTAAAACTCCACATACCAATCTTAAGTAACTCTATAAAATGCTCTGTTGCAAAGAATGGCCAAACACCTCTGTCAGCTGTATGCTAGGTCATCTGCATCAGGTCACATGTACTGCACTTTGCATCTAAAGGTTGCTATGTGGAGCCTGTAAGTTACACAGAAATGCCTATTCTTCTCTTCTGAGACGAACTTTTATGATATCCTGAGCTGTTCTGCTTCTTTTGTGTAGATGCTGGATAAGCTACGTATCCCGCTGAGATATGGTTTAGCCTGTCGTCGTGGTGTAAGAAACTCTCCCAGCAGTAACCTGATGTGGCTTCAAGCAGAGTATGTCTTATACATAACACTCCAGCCAAGCAACACAAGCAACTTAGCTATGCTCACAGGGCCATAAGGGGCTCAGGAGTGTGGGGTCTCGAGTGTGTGGCTCCAGATCTAGTTTTTCCACATCAGCTGTGACACCCCGGAGAAATTACATAACTACTTTGTGCCAAAGCCTTTTCTCCCATAAAAAGGAAATAGTAGGACTTCCTCCTTACAGCCTTGTTGTGAGAATTAAAGCATTTGGACAACTGCCTAGACCACAGTAACTACTCAGGTGTTACTGTTCTCGTGTTATTCTTGTTGTCATCGTCATCGTTATCATCATCAGGTTATTGCTATTTCTGCTGCCACTGAACTCTCCTCAAACACTGCAGGAAGGCTTCCTTCCCTCACCTTTAACATGGCGTAGCAGTGTCCTCTGCTGGTACTGAACTGTATGGGCCCATTTATGGCCACACTATCTATTTGTTTTCTGTCTTTCAGTCAGTCACAGCCTGCTACGTTGTTTCTCCTCATTTCAGGTTTTCTGCTAATCGGCAAACCAATCGCCAATTCTAACTCCTGTCCCTGATTTTACCATACCCCCTCTTCCATGTTCTTTTTTCCTTACTCTTACGTTATCCAGGGCAACTTCATAGTTTTCACATGAGCAGGATTTAACTCTTGGCCACCGCTACTTAATGGAAAGTCCCTGTTTTCAGTAGGGAAAGCAACCGAACGTCATGCTTTATCTGAGTCTCCCTTGCTCCATCAGTAACAGCCCAGTAAAACAGTTCCCTGAAGGCTGACTACATCTGAGGCACTGCCAAGCCCTCTTCGGCCATTATAGTAACCCTAGGAAGTAGGTACTATCATCCGCCTTTGAAGGACAAGGACCTTGAGGAACTCGGCTAAAGCCACACAGCTAGTACATGATAGCCACAGGCCCCGAAACAACACGATGAAGTGCAGAACGTGCGGCCAGAGTCTACGACAGAGATGGTGCTCAGGGAGGCCATGTTTTGACCGGAAAACACACACACACCAGCTAGAGATAGAGCAGGTACAAAGGTCCTGAGGCAGACAAACTTGGCAATCACAAGGAAAAGAGAGCATCTGCACTGGAGGAAACTGAGAGGAGAAAAAGAAAAAGAAAAGGTCCCCATAAGGCATATCAAACACAAACCCAACTGGACGCCTCTGCAGCCATCATACAGGAGGGGACAGTGACGCTGCCACACTGCGGTCCAGATGCATGCTTGGAGGCCAAGCTGGAGGGACCTGCCCATCGGTCCCGTATGAGGCAACAGGAGGAGAGAGAAAAATAAGGAAAACTCCCCAGTTTTTAGCTTAAGCTACTAAGTAGGGGTCAGACCATGACCTAAATATAAAAGAGTGGAATAAAAGTACAATTTTAGGGGGTGGGGGAGAGCTTTGAAATGCAAAGGAATCGAGAATTGTGTTTAAGTCCATTTTGAGTCTGAGATGACCATAAAACACGCAAATGGAGATCAACAGACAGTTGGATAAGCCAGGAGCTCAGAGGACATAGGGCTGCAGATATATACTCGGAAGCAACACAAATTACATTTAAATTCATGGCCTCTGTGAATTTCTAAGTAAAGCAGAGAGTAAGTCCAAGAGGAAGGCTTGCGGCCAGAAACCCAGGCATGCTAGACTTGATTCCTCCCCCTTCTGTCTGGCTTCCTACACCCACCCATCCAAATGTCTACCATATCGTCCCACGCTTCTCTCTCCCCACCTTGGCTAAATTTGGTTCGACCGACCATCCTGACCCACTCAGATCACCAGTAGGGCCCCCATCTCCTCTTCCCGCAGCACACTCCCTCCGCTCCTGTTCACGGGCAGACAGACGGCACAGCGCTCCCTAGTGCCCTCCAGTGGTTCGGATTCCTCTGTGAATCAAGTACAAACACCCTTTGCCAATCACTCTCCACCTAGGTACTCCACTGGCCCGCCACCCTGAACTACCCTCGGATCCTCTTTTCCTCTGGGCTTGTCCACGTGCCATGCCCTTTGCTTGGGACCCTCCACGAACAACACCCACCTGGCAAAGCATGACCTTCAGCTATTAAGTCCTTCAGCTATTAAGTCAGAAAATCACCTCTTTGGGGAAGCCTTTGCTAATGCCAACGTCTATGCAAGGCCCACACAAAGCCATTACAGTTCACTGTTACAGCACTGTCCTCGTCATACTGAAATCCCTGATTTATTTAGACTGCATCATCCTTATGTTAGGTTAGAGTTGAACCAAAGATGTAGGAAGGGAAAGCCCAGGCTCGCCCAGAGGGGCAGACACACGCTCAGAAGCAGCAGCTCTCCTGGCTGAGTAGAAAAGCCAGTAATGCACAGACACGGGCTCCTAGACCCCAGAAAGCCAATGGCAAAAACCCCCAGCTTAGCTGCAGACAGTCTCCCCAGCAGGCACAGACAGAGACGGATGGGATGCTTTACACATAACATCCAAACACCCAGGACTGAGGAAAATGGTTTAGCACGCCTGCTAAAGCAATTTCAATGGTAGAGAGTCCCAGTTGTTTTTAAGAAACATAATTTTTTCCTTTAGGACTCTCTTCAGCTGACAGCAAACCATTAGGCATATCAGGCTACCATGTGCTCTGCCTTCTTCAAAATCCCTTTGTGAGCTACATCTTGGGGTTACACGCTCTACTTTTATCAAGGGGTGTTACAAGAAACAGGCTCATAAAATCTTAAAGCGTGGGTTTCTAAAGTATCATTTAATATTCTCTGTACAGAACTGCATGTAAGAAATGCTTTAGATGTAAGATTTGGGGAAATGTTTTATATTCTCTATGTAGATAGCATGTTCATTTCCTCCCTGGTAATATGACTGATGTACTTTTTGCTCTGGCGACCACCCAAGTGTGCAGCAGGTTCGGCGGCCGACAGCAGCCAGATAGCCCATTACAGCTTGCCTGGTTGTGTTCTACTTTCCTCTTCCCTGTTCTTGCCATCTGTTCCTGATGTATCATTGGTCTTAACTCATTTCTTCTTATTTATTCCTACCATTTCTTTATTAAACCTATGTGATAAGTTCCTTAGCATTAAGGCGGGAGAAGATAAAATGAGTCCAGTGCTCTCTCAGAAATACCTGCCTCCAATAATTAAAAAAAACACACTCAGTTATGACTTAAATTTAAAAATCATGTCAAAGTCACTTCATGTAATTAACCACTATTTGAGAAAGCAATGCATGAGAAAATGGGTTTTAATTCATACCATGTTCTGTGTAGACTGACTCATGGAGAAGGGGCTGAATTTGCTCTTCTACCTCATCTTCAATATTCCGAGGTCCTAAAATGATTACAAAACATAACTAAGTATAAAAATATCTAGATATTAATGAAGAACATGAAACATGACATCCAGGTACACACATTTCAGTGAATATATTTGGTTCATCAACTATGCTACCTTTTCATATTCATTTGCCCCCTTTTTATAAGTTGGCAAACACAGTAAATATTTAAGATTGGTTTTATTTTGACAGAATATATAAATGTTTAGCAAACACCTCACAGAGCAAAATTACTTGTTTTCTAATTAACAAAATTCACAATCATGATAGAATAAAGAAAAGGGGATGGGCAAAGCTTTCAGGAGGGAAGTACTGGGAAACAAAGATTAAAATGTAGAAGATGAGGCCAATATACACGAAAGGGCATGACCAGTCACTGTCTTCCCTGACAGTCAGGAGAAAGGGCCCCCTGGCTAGTGTGAGGACTGAGAGGGTCAGAACTGAGGAGAAGACCCCACGTGAAAACTGGCAATCCTTTCAGCTTTGGAGAAGCCCATCCGCCAGATCCACAGATTGAAACAGATATAAATTACAAAAGTCAACACTATCAGTTAACGACATCCCGACATGCTTATCAGATTACCAGGTTTGTTGAAATGTGGCGCAACAAATAAGAAGCTGTAATGACACTGACACTGTGATAAATTTTAACAAACATCCACGTTCAGTAAATTAAAGTAGCGCTAGACTCAGTGTCACGCATGCTGTCACAGGAAGCAATGCCAATGACATCAGTTGGTTACCCTGACGTGTTAATCCTCGATGACAAAAACAGAGTAAACTCCTTTGAACTGCTTCAGGTAGGAAAAAGTTTAAGAGCCTGTTAGCCTAATCACATTACCAAACCATTCCTGAAGCACGGAAAGTACCTTCTATTTTTATAGATGGTTATATGGCACAAACCACGTTTATATGTATTTGCATATAATTACAGAAGAGCCTGCCAATCTCTGTTCTTCCCTCCTCGGCTCTCACAATGCCCATGACAGCTTCCTAACCAATTCCTAGTTTCACGACTGT